TTGATCTAACTTTGAAACTTCTTATGAACAGTTCAGTGTCATTAGATATAATCGGCAATTTATTACATTTGCATTCTTGTGATTTGCATAATCATTCAACATAGAGCTGCGTGAGTTTATATTGGTTTGATTGGTAAATACAATGAAAACATGGTACCAACCTTTGTCATGCCACAACACTTTGAAATTAGAAATGTAATGAGTGTGTGAAGCTGTGTAACCTCCAAACCAATCATGTCACATCTTTGGTCAAAGGCTCTAGCAGAGGTATCCTCAGTCTAAACCTCTACAGAAGCCTCCTCTTTCCTTGATCCTTGTTTCCTCCAGGTGAATATAAGAAATTGGAAGATCTTCATCATGGCGGAGGGGAGAAATTTCCAGTGGATACTCAAACTAACATAATATGAAACACCCCATGTAAAGAGCTCTGTGACTCTGTGACATCACTAAATCTCCAGGCTAGAAAAAACTGAAGTGATGGGGAGATCAAAAAGTAGTAGTCTTGCTTTATGACATACTGCTGATTACTGCTGTAAATGTGTACATTGATTGTCTTTATTAAAGGCAACATAGTAATGTTAGATCACTATAGTGATGGCAAATAACTTTTATATACATATCCTTGCTCATGACACCAGTAATAATAATACTTTATCCTTTATTAATCCTTCGAGGGGAAATTCAGTTTTACACTCTGTTTAATGAACATACTACACAAACATAGGCTGAAATACACAAACATGCACAAACAGGATCCTATGGACATGCACTAATGGAGAGTTCTCAGAGTGAGGGGGATGCCCACAGCGAGCACTCCAGAGCAGTTTGGTGTCTTGCTCAAGGGCACCTTGGTAGTGCTCAGGAAGTGGACTGGCACCTCTCCAGCTACCAGACCAACTTCTGGACTCGGTCTGTGCCGGGACTTGACCCTCTGATTCCCAACCCAAGTCCCTACAGACTGAGCTAGTGCCGCCCCCAATAAGTATGTAGCAATGCTAACAAGGTGAGCCTAGCTACAGTTGCCAATCAGAAAAATTAGGGAAATTTGGCCCTCTTGTGCCATGGCACATGCTGCTGAACTACTGGTATATACCACTGAACTTATGACACATGTCGCTGCTCCCCAAGTGGAATGTCAAATGCCACTTTTCAATCTCTGCGCTGCTGATAAACTGTGTGAAACCCTGTGTGTTAAGAGCAGCCTGAGCTCTGAAGACTGAGGGATTACTCGGATACACATTCCCCTACTGATTTGAAGCTTTGCCCACCTTTAGTCTGAATATCCAGTATAGAAACAATATACTGTATGTATGTCTGAAGATGTAAAAAAAAAAAAGCATCCTTTTAGGATTATGGGTTTTTTTAAATATGGTGTTGTGAGGACCTACCAAGGACAGGATAGGACAACACAGTTTGAAGTAAGTGTTTACAGAGTAAAGAGTTTAAAGAAAGAGACCTCAGCCTCTGCCTAACATAAAGGAGCTCGAGGTCAGAATGCCATTCACACAAACACCTCACATCGGGAAACTATCCCTAGCTGTTTTCACATATGAACTCCCAGACATATTCAGGAGGACAGCGCCTAAAAAATCCTCCTGATCTGGTCGTTCCCACTATGGTCGAACAGGAGGGGGTCTCCTGAGGCTAGATGATGTAAAAAGAAAGATGTGGAAGAAAGAAACAGAGTTCGCTAAACAACGTCATAATGAGAATATTTGTTTTAATATCAATTCTATGTGTAATAGAATATCAACAGAAGAGCAGAGAAGAACACATAATGCAGCCTTATGATTATACGTGCACATATATCTTAGAGGTTGCATGCAGACAGTCTATGGCTGTGCCCTCATTGCAGGTCATTGCAGGTCCGTCATACTGGTGAACAGAAAACGTGATGAAGCAGTTTCATTTAGTACATGAGGATCATATCTGCACCCACATACAGTCTTAACCCAGTTTCTCTTGAATAGCACATTAAATGTTAAATGGACTGAAGCTTGTATAGCACTTTTCTATTCTGTGGACTACTAGCACTTTTTTTATACCACAGGTCACAAGCAGCAGGAGCAACTTGGGGTGAAGGGTCATGCCCAAGGAAACATTGCACATGTGGAAGCTGGAGCTGGGGATCAAACCCCCACAAGCCACAGCCGAAGCCACAGCCGTCCTAAGCTCCCTACTCCAATAACAAGTAAAAAAAAAAGTAAGTTATCTCCTCCTCTCTACATTTCCTGATGTCCCTTTTCTCTCTTTCTCTGGAGTATTTCTGGTATTAGAACATGGTCTACAGATTCATCTAGCTGGCAGTGCTGACATGAACCCGTGAGGTGCTTCTTTAACAGATACAGTGTTTTACTTTAGTCTTAGTTGCCATCACTGTTCCCACTTGTGGTTGTAAATTGTTAGGGTGGCGCATGTTTCCCTAATGTTCTGCCATTCTTTCCCAATGTTTTACAAAGTGATATTTCCGTAATGTTATCCGGTTTTAAGGGCCTATTTTGCTAGTTGATAAAATGACAGCCATGATGTCTCTCTCACCAAAGTGGGCTGGACCAGGGGAGGGCTACTTCTACCAGGGTGCATTCAAAGCCAATAGGAGCAAAGCATACATCTTAAAAATTATATCCACTTCAGTGTGAGAATGAGTCATTGCTCACATGATTGTTGGTCAATTCATTCAGCAATACCATGAAAAAAAAGGTCTCTTGTGTTCAGTCAGTCTCTGTCAATGCAGTCATCAAATTCTCTCAGTAGAGGACAGCTATTCAAAAGCTGGTCTTATAAATACATGTGTTTGATGATTTTAGACTTCAGTGGACGTTAGCAAGTCGTCAAATACACTGCTATCTACTGGCCAGCCGTAGTAAGTGTACCAAGTATTGCTTCAAAGTTAAGACTGCCAAGCAGAAAGGTCAGAATAGCCGTTCATTGTTCAGGGATATAAAATCTTTCTACTCTATAAAAACCCTTGTAGGTGATCATTTATGTAACATTAGATATCAACTGATCTAAGTATTGATTTTAGGTTAGGATCACATTATAATTGTCACCTGTTCACTAAACTGGTCATGATGCATTCCTGGCTATAGGTAAACATCAGTTAATTGTATTATTGTGAGGTCAACTGATTTATTCTATTAAATAGAAGCTTGCAGGGTTAAGGAACATTTTATGCAAGTTTTAACATCACTTTAATATAATGTGTTTAAATGGAAAGAGGTCATATCTGAATTTAAATCTATGCTCTCTCATAATATTTGCTTGTCCATTAAATTTGTTGCTCTCTTCATCTCCAGTTTGATCAACAAGTCACTCAGTAAACTTCATAAATCTTGTGATGCTTATGCTGCCACAATATTCCACTCTCGTAAATCCACTGATTTCCTTTTACTCAACTACTCAACAGAGCCTTGAACACGTCTCAAACAGCTGATGGGAAGATTTGCTTTTACATGCTCTTCAATGAGCATCCAATATTGAGCCATAAGTAGACCTGAGTGTTTTGGTATGACAATGTCAATCTTTGTTCTTGCAGGGTGATGACAAGTTCCAAAATGATGTCCTCAGCCTCCATGGGTGCCATGCTCTATGGATTAAGATTATCACTTACTGATAAAACCAACTGGATCAGGACTATGATCAAATGAGTTGTGGATAATTGAAGTGCACTCTAGATGACTATCAGTCTGCAGGGGAGCCATATGCTATCTCCAATTTCTGACCAAGATTCTCGTAATAACAATTAATCTGGATGAACAGATATAAATTGCCATTTCCCCACTGTCAGAGCTTATTTGCCTAGACAGCTCTTCAGGTGGATATCAGAGCACCCAAGAAACCTGAGTCAATGTCTCGAGCTGTGTATGGTTACTTCTTCCCACAAGTTTGCGTTGCCAGCTGCAAAAAATGTTAACACAGAAGGAAAATGATGGACAGATGGGTCACAATTGCTGCCTGGAAGCATTTGGATAAAATACTCGATCTAAAACGAGAATGACTCCTGAAGCTTTGGACAGCAGAAGAGCACCAAAGATGATATTCTGAATAAGTTGCAACAAAAACGGTAAGGAAAGAATACCCCTCATTAACTACTCTGATGACTTCAGACAAAATAGACGATGAAATGTCAAATAATTTAATGTAGGTTTCAATTAAAGGTCTGATTCTGTGTGAACACTGATGCAGAGCAGTACAAATTGTTTAGAAGCTTGCATTCACTGTAGGTGATGAAAACTTATCTTAGTGATGACAGATGTCTGGGGAGAAGAAAAACACATGTTGGAGTATTTCAAACGGTCAGAAGAGAGGGACCAAACAAGTCCTCTTTTGTTTGTTTTTTGGGACCAAAAGTGAAAATGCAGCGAAAAACTGCCACTGCAATGTGCTTGCTATCTCACATTTCCTAGTCCCAGGATTCCCGTGTGTCTACATTAAGCCCATCACATACAGTACAGCCAGCCACATGGAAGCTCGGACAGTAAGGTCCAGCTAATCCCTTGAAACTCCATGAACTTTGTTTTTTTTCCCTTTGTTGTCTCCATGTGGCGGGAGCCCTTTGACCAGGAATCAAAGTTTGAGGGATCAAGTACGAGGCGGGCAGCAGCACGCAGCCCCATTGAGCAGATTACCTGCTGCTGTGCTGACTGAAGACTCCTGCACACAAAACATGAAAAGTGTGGATTCCAGGGGCCAAAGGCCTGCGTGGTGGGCACTGCAGTGCCAAACCGGCCCGAGGAGAAAAGAAAGGCTCAGTCAGCAAGCCAGGGCCACTGGGGTGATGAAAAGATAATTCTCCCCCCCCACCGCCTCTGGACCTCATGCGGCGTCAAACCATTTGTGAGCAGTGACACAGCCAGATTGGGCCGAAAGGATATGAGTGGGAAACTTCAAAACTTGCTCATGTTTCCGCGAACGTGAAAGGATTTGTATAACACATTCAGATTTGATGGACTTTCCCATGTTCACTCTCGACAGCCCTTTTTTGTTGACATGTTCAAATAATGAATCTCTTATGTGTTGGATCCCTTTTCCCCCCCTGCTCCTGAGTGCTGTTTCTAGTTGCCAGGTAGGGATGCTGTGCGGACCATTCCATCGTCTGTCCCAGGCTTATGGAGAACCGCTGACTTGCTGCCTTCCAGGATCCAGGGTGAGTGCTTCTTCTTCTTCTTGTCTGCCTTCTTCACCTCAGGCTTTCAGAAACGCTAAAGAAGCTCTGACAGATTTAGGTGCAATTACTCCTTGAATTTAGCTGTTTCTTCAGGATTGAGTCTCCATCTGAAATTGACATGGATTATGTGATAAGAGGCTTTCAAAGGACACTGAGATGTGTAGGATGAGATAAGCCATTATACTCTAAGAAGAACTTGATTCAGTATCATTTCTTATTACTTCGATGCCACATTGTCACAAATGATTGAATTGTTTGCTTTTCCTCTGTTTGACAGGATAATGACATGCTCATCTGAAGTCATCTGAAGACAGGAAACGTCTGTTAAGATTTTTAGTAATCCAGGTCGTTTCATCTGAAAGGCTTCTATAGTTTTGAAGAAGTCTTTTCAGATAGAGATAAAATGTCTTCAACTTAGTTTCCTTTTGGATTACACTTTGGGTTCTGCTCAGGCTTTTTTCCTGGAAAAACAATCAAATAATTTATATTTTTTTCATCTTCAAATGTTATATCCTACAGAGTAACAGCTGAAGGGCATACACTGGATTTGTTACAATACGTGCAATTTCTTGCTTTGTTCCAGGTGCTGAAATGGAACATATTCTTTTGATCCTTTTAATAATTATTAAGGCTGAGTCAGTCGGAGCTCAATTCAATGGATACAACTGTGACGGCAACTTTCACAGCCGCTTCCCAGGTAAAGGATTCAAAGAAACTCAGACTGACACATATTTATTCTTTCAGTTTCACCAGAACTGAAATACATGTTCATACTTAAATAAGAAAATAATATGCCCACAACATTTTCTAGAGGATTATATCACATGACTTAGATTAAACATAAATAATTCAACATAAAAGTGTTAGACTTTTATCCCAAAACTGTTCTGCATCTAAAATTAATAATTCTTTTGTATTTTTTTCAACATAATATATAATGTATTTTTTTTTTCTCTGTGTGTCTGTGTGTGTGTGTGTGTGTGTGTGTGTCCGTGTGTGTTTGTACGTGTGTCTGTGTGTGTGTCTGTATGTGTGTGTTTGTGGGTGTGTGTCTTATAGCCGAGAGGGATATCAGTGTGTACTGTGGAGTGCAGACCATCACCCTTAAGATCAATTTTTGCCCTGTCCTCTTTTCCGGCTACACCGACACTGACCTGGCCCTCAATGGTCGTCATGGAGACGCCCACTGCCGCGGATTCATCAATAACAACACCTTTCCTACCGTGGTCATCTTCAGTATCAGCCTGGCCACACTGGAGTCGTGTGGCAATTCTCTGGTGGTAAGCAGCAGCACATTCAAGTATTTTTACATCATTCATAGTCAGTGTTAGCGACACTGCACACGTTGGGTTTGGTAATGTTGTACTTCACCTAATCCAGATGAATTAGATTCATATTCACGTGTAGATTTTAAAAATAAAAACATAGTTTACTCGGACTAGGGATGGGAAAGGTTGGGACATGATAATGATAATATAACCATTCAGCGATTGGTTGATATGTTGCCAGACAATCATATTATGAATGATACATCACAATATTGGATTAACACAAAATAAAGGTAAAGTACACTTTTTAATGTATTTATTCCCTTTAATTTGACGTCAGTTTCACCTCTCATCACGCTTCATTTCTTCTCTTCTTTTCATCAGCTGTGTTCTTCTTTTTTCATCTTTATTTCAGTGAACATCCGTTCATGTTGTCCTTGTTTGTGTCATAAAGTTGTGACTGCTGTTAGTCAAGATGGACTCTGTTAAGAGTGCACATTATAGGACAAACTCTGGAAAGCTGCCCTGCTCCTTGCAGTTAGCTCTTGTTTTCAGTCTGAATGTGGTAAAGACAATGAGCTATAAAGTGAAGGGAAACTTTAAATAAATATTCATTAAAAAACTTCACACAAATTGTAGGTCAGCAACAACACTCACAACAGAGTAGCAGTCACCTTTTTAAAGTGTATTCACTTTTAACAGTAAATATTGTAAGGCAGCCAAAGGCTTAAGTATGAAAATGTAAGAGGACCACTCAAGCCATTAAATATCTGAATCAGTAAGGCTACCTCATACTGCACGTTACTTAATCTCATTATTTAACACCCCTTGCTGTTTTTATTTTTTTTCTGCACATTTTGTATATGTTGTGTGTTTGTAAGTGTGTTTTGTGTTTTCCAAATGTGCAATTTTGATTTTGTTGAATGTATTAGCTTTGCACACGCAAATCAAATACATCTCTGCATTAATATGCAAAAGTAGACAATGAAGTATTCCTAGTCTATATATAAACCCTACTTTGAGCACAGTGAGTGTTTCCTACTGATGTTGTTCCCTGCAGGTCTCCACAGCCCAAGGACCCAACGCTTATGGGAACCTGTCACTGGTGCAGATTGGAAACATTTCAGGGTATATCGACACACCAGACCCCCCTTACATTATAAGCTACCTGCCAGGTCTGCTATACAAGTTCAGCTGCAGTTACCCGCTGGAATACCTGGTCAACAACACTCAGCTGGCCTCGTGAGTCTCTTTGTTTTCATAAAGTCATATTTGATAACATATTGTGTTCATGTTTTTTATCTAAAACTTTCACTGAATCTGATAAGGAAGAAAAGAAAAGAGCCAATAAGGCTAAACTGACCAAATGTTAATTTAAAAAATAGATTTTGTTTATAATTTAAAGTTGAGGGCTATGAAAGGTTGTCTCTGCAGAGTAGGAACCAGGTATGATTTGAGGCACTGTTTTTCAACCCATATGTAGTTTAGTTTAGAAGAATGCTCTTATTTATGAATATTGGGATATAGCCATAAGAGGAACATCTAAGAGTTTAAAAAGTCTGTTAAAATATATTTGAATGTTCTGTCAAAATGGCGTTGGCTACTTTGTTCTGTTTTTTTCTTGAATGAAGGTCAGCAGCTGCGATCTCAGTGAAGGACAGCAACGGTACTTTCATCAGCACGTTGAATTTACTGCTCTACAATGTAAGTTCATCTTTGTTTAGTCCAAATATCTGCTCATTTGATACATTTAGGAAGCACTGTAGACAAAGCTAGATGCAAAATCTGCAGTCAGTATGCAACCAAGAAGTGAGTAGTGCTGCAGCCAGGTAGGCCTACCTGAACCTGTCCTGTGATGACCTGCAGAGACTCCTGTGAGTGACATGTAGAGACGAGGGAGATAACCAACCAAATGACCTTTAATCCTCTAATTAAAGATTATACTCAGTTTACCCTGAATTCATTTCAAACCATGCAATGCATCCCCTTGTCAATTCAATCTAAGACTTAATCTCAATCACAAACTGTAGTGACAAACCTGTCACATGAAGGAACAACGTGCTGATATCTGCTTTATGTCCAGGACTCATCATACGTTCAGCAGCTGTCCATCCCCATGGCAGGACTGACCCTGAAGACAAGGGTGTTTGCAGCTGTGAAAGCTTCTAACCTGGACAAGAGGTACTCTTCAACAATCTGAGTAAAGCAGCAACATTACCATTCTCCTTTATACCAACATTACAGGGTTACACTGGAGCAGCTTACCAGATCTCTTCATGTGGCCATCATTTGTCTTTTGCTGAGTAGTTTGTATGTTTAAAGAGAAATACTCAGTTTAGGTAATCTACAATTCAAATAAAGCTATACTAATACTGATTGTATTGAAAGATACACAGGGTATATATCTGTTAGGATCAGGGTGTGTCCATTTATTTGTCTCTCATGCTGCTGTCTATGATCCACCTTTTTGGATGAAAAGAAGTTATCAAAAGTTTGCCTTTTCCACTGGATCTTCTGGTGTCTTTGGCCTGCTTCAATCGGACAGACACACTGTATCTTTGGTTTTGAATAGGGTTCAGGCAGCTCTGATTTGAAGAAGTCTTGCTATTTACATTTTGCCTGTTAGGCTGATGTGGTGAGGGAGGGGACTCTGCTTAAACAGAGAGTGTAAACAAAAGAACTTTACACATTTGTTGGTGTAACATATTCACTGTGTCTCCCAGACTTTATGCTTAAGGATTTGAAACACCAAATCTGTTTGAAAGGTCTTTCAAATGAAGTTTCAGTGGAGTTTTTGAACTTGACAGAGCAAACTAGATAAGGGTTACTTTTAGGAGACACAGCTTTTAGATGATTTAAGTGGCATCTTCTTTTCAAGTGTTTGAATTGTCCTTTAGTCGTGCATGAGACGGCTGTACTCTTAATGTTTTTAATGTTTAATAGATGGAACATTCTGATGGATTACTGTTATACCACACCTTCTGGAAACCCAAACGATGACCTACGCTATGATCTTTTCTTTAGGTAACTCAAACAGACACGTATATGATTTGTGGCTTTCTTCCTCCTCCTCTTTCTAATCTTTCTCGTTTTACCTCCCTGGGCCAGCTGTGAAAAAGACCCCCAGACTACCGTCTTTGAAAATGGGAAGAGCCAAATGGGCCGCTTTGCCTTTGAAGTATTCCGCTTTGTAAAGCACAAGAACCAGAAGATGTCCACCGTCTTCCTCCACTGTGTCACCAAGCTGTGTCGATCCGATGACTGCCCCATGCTCATGCCAGTGAGATGATAATAACTTTACATCTAACATAAACAGCTCTTGTATTGACAGCATGTCCAAGCAGTGTTGGGGGGAATGTGTTCATAATCTGTCATAGTATATGAATCATTATTTGTTGTAATTACATTATGTAACACGTTTTGTCTCTGCCTCGTCTCCAATCAAAGGTGAAGATAACCGACAGGCCTAATAACTCAAAAGTACTTTTAATGACAGGCATCTTGTCATATGAGTAACGTTACCAGACTCCATATTTCACCTGCTCATCTTCACTTAAAGGCTTTATATGTGATTTTTCACACTTAAATGTAGCAGAAATCAAGTATATCCTCTGAAAATAACTCTGAGTCATGACTGTCTACAATGGGTGTAACACCCGAGTCCCACTGTCTGTGATGATTTCCGAGTTTTCCGGGTCCTATCTTGAGTTTGCTTACATCGTTGGGACGGCGGCTGACTCCTCCCCTCATGTATAAAAGTTGTTTAATTGAGGGACTAGAGAAAATAAGAATAACATACACTGCTTAACTGTGTTTCTAGATCACGCTCATTTCAGGCAAATTTACATGCAGTGTGAAGACACGAGCATAATAAAGATTGCTAGCATTAGCATGCTAACACAACAATGCAGCGAGTTGTTTTGGTTTCATGCTGGTGCTCAAGGGCAACATCTGCTGGATCAAAAAATCACATATAAAGCCTTTAAGTTGGGCGTACACTTCCCCCCCACAGTCATGTCAGTGCACATCGTGAGCTTTGGTCGTGTATCGTAAACGCTTCAGTCGTTCAGTGTGAGATGACATTCCATCGCAATTGTACAGTGCCCAGTTTTACTTCAATAATGATCTGTTAGTAAATCTGTTGTCACATACAGCACCATCAACACACCCACTTACTCGCTGTGACAATAACCTGCTGTGTTCACACAAAGGCTCATTGGTCAACATCTGGACCAGCAAGTCAAAAAATCCAACAGCTAGCTCCACCTTAACCAACTTTAACGGTCCATAGTTATTTATATTATAAATCTGTCTAAATACTAATTACACCATTGATAACAATCCAAAGTAAAACATGAATATAAAACTAAACAGATGTGAAACGATACGGGTATCCTTCAGCCTCAGGGTCTATATATTAACTAAACATGTTAATGTATCTTTACACACAACTATGGTGTGTGTTTGAACATAACCATGTTTTTTCAGTTCCACAGTACTCTCCAAGAAGACCCTGATTTTACTGGGAAATGGAGATTTAAACATTTAGTTTTGGATTAATAATATCTTTCCAATCATCACAAGACATATGCAGTGTCTGATTTTTTTAAATGGAAACATTCATACATCATATTTGATAGGACAATATAAGAGAAAATACCTCAAAGATACAGTGTAGGCCTAGAAGATGTAAAATGTTGGTCATATTAACCATTAAGTATGTGCATGTATCTCATTAAGTCAATATTTCAGTTTACCATCATATCTCTTTGCCTTTTTTTCTTAGATCTGTGGAAGCAGGAAAAAGAGAGATGTTCTCGAGAGAAAGGAATCAAATGGTGTATCTGGGAATGCCGTCCTGACTGCCGGGCCTATCATCACCCGGAGTGGTACAGTTCTGTTTCTCCTCAGCATCTGTTTCCAACAAAGCTCCTCTCCCTGATGTTATCCAACAATACTGTCCTCATATCCCTGTTATCTGACACTCAAACTGTCAGCCTTTTACATTTCTTCAAGAAGAAAAATGTTTCTGAAACGTGTCATTAGACAAGTTGTTAAAGCAGTGTGAGGGCAGAAAGCATGGTGTCGTTGAAATATCCATCTGGCTAGGTGTGTGTTCTTTTGAAAGTGATGGAAAGAAAGACTGTAGAACACACAGTATAACAACAATGCAAACATTAGCCTCTTATTTCTGTAAATCACAGTTACAGCCATGTCAGACATAAAGTAGGTCTGTGAAGACATCAGTATTCAATCACAAGTGTTAACATAATTTAAAAACTCCTTTGGAAACATTTGATATCCCTGTGTCTTTTGAGGTTAGTCAAAGGGGGATAACTTACACGTACTGGAAACATATATGGGCAACCCGGATATTCATATCAAAATAACATGCAAGAAATGAACAACGTCCAATTTTACTGCAAAGTACACTCTACTAAATACAATGTTATTCTGTTCATCTTTTGTATGCTCTTTCTTTTTCCCCTCCACAGACGAAACACCAACCAACAACTCTCAGCTGGGTAAGCCTTCACATCATGTCCAAAGTGTCTTTAATATATAAAAACAATATGAAAACCCTTACTTCAAATAAAAAGGCCATGTCCTCTAATAAACAATTCACACATACTCCATGCGCGCCGCGCTCCGTCAGTGCCGCGCACTACATTGTACTTAGCTGCCACTCTAGTCAATCATTGTGTTTACACAGGGCGCGCTGCGGTCCGTCTCCGGCGTGTGCCACCAATGGCACTGCGCTCTGCTCAGTTTCAAATACGCAGCGAGTCTATTTTCGCCAGAGTACGCTTCAGGCACGCGTTAATCTCGACAGAATATGACAGCTCAGACAAGAAAACACACAGAGCATCCGGTCAATTTCAAAATAAAACACAATATACGGACTCGCGATCGTATTTTTCATCACTTTATCAACATTCCGTCAAAACAGGAACCGAATTAACAACAATGTATCCTCAGAAAGACAAAGCAACATGTTGTTTGCATGTTTTTCTCTTTATTCCCGCGGGATCTTGTAGTTCTCCTGTGATGTGTCATGGGTGCGCTCCGCTGCGCTGATGTCCCAGAAACGGATCCAGTGTGAATGGACGCGAGCCGTCCGACGGAGCAAAACCGTGGCGCTGACAGACTGCGGCGCGCACAGAGTATGTGTGAAGTGCGGGTTAGGAGATGTAACATCAAGAGTCCTTCTCTTATCCAACTTCAATACTTGTTTTGAAACATTTCATAGAATGACAACTGAAAACTCTGACTAAATGCTGCAGCATTCACACCTACAAAGTAACAGTGGCAAGGAAAACTTTCTTTTGACAGACAGAAAGCTCAAACAGAAGCAGACTCATGTTGAGCAGGGCTTTGAGAGGGGACAGGGGGGTAAGACAGAAAGAGAGAGACAGTACAAAACAACCTTGTCCCTCATTGTTGATTTCTTGTTTTAAATCCTGCTGTTTTCACAGCTTGGTGACTGGAAATGTGTCAGTCAGTACATTTTCATGCAGTTAGAAAAAGATGATTTATTTATTGTGTTAATCTGACTAAAACTGGTCTTTTTAAATGTACGTAATAATGTCATTCTGATTAAAATCATATTTGGTCAAATTTCTTGAAGTCAAACTAAGATTGACACATCTAGATAATGAGGTTGGGATCTATTTACTTTTGCATAAATACACCTCAGTCAAACCAACAAGGTGTTCTGCGCATGCTCCACAACTCGCCTGGCTTTAAATGCGTAGCACAGCAGAAGCCATGTTGTCCTCTAACTTACAAAATCAACATGTGCGGGAGAGATACAGGCATTGCATTTGCACCAAAAGTAAACCCTACAGAGTATGTACCAAATGTGCTTTACTGCTCAACATACAAAAAGTCTGCCGCTTGCTAACTTTTTTGTCAAACTGTGTTTGTATGTAATAAATGGAAAAGAAGGCCCAGTAACTCACTGAAAGAAGGCATATCACCACATAGGGGAGTAGAAAATAATGTCAACAAATCCATTCTCCACAGACACTTGTATTCTGTGACTTAGGTATTTGTCAATTTAAATGACAGAATCCAGCTGTATCCATAAGTTCAACTTTCCTGTTCCTGTAAAAGTTGCAAGCATGAAATGAGTTTTCCAGAAATTGAAACAACAAATGTCCTCTACAATGAAAAGCATAACACTGTGAGATATTTAGTTTTATTCAGAAGCAGATTTCCAGTGGTGTTTCATTATGTATTTGTGTTTGTGCTGCTCTAGCCAACCTGAAAGCTCCAGTGTTTCAGATGAACACAGTGACCAGCGCCCTCATATCGGGCGTCATCATCCTGGGGGTTATGAGCGTGTGCTTCTTCATCTTCTCTCTCACCCTCCTCAAAGGAAAGAGTGCTCCTGTAAGCACCCTGACCTCAGGCGCCCGTAACCCAGCCTTCAACTGAGCGCCTCAGCCAACTGCAGACACTTCCTAATGTGTGCTAACAAAGGGACAGATGTGACATGATGTATGTGAATGTAATCATTTTACAGGACTATAAAAGCTAAATGTTGATCTAGAAAACCGGTAACAGGTATGATGTGCATAAGCATAGAAGTGAATCGGGACATGTAACATTTACATTCAATACCTCAGCTAAAAAGCTTCCATTCCATTCTAAGTACAGGCTTAGTAACATGGCTTACAGTACTTTATAATATCTGCTGGTAAATATACTAGTACTTTATTGAATATGTAACTTAAGAGATGAAAGGGAAACTGTCAAATTTCAAGTGAAAGCCTTTGATTTAGTAATTCCATGACTTAACAGATAGCCCCAGGCGTGGATGTTAATATGTTTTCTTGACATAAAATCTAACATTGTATTAATAATTTGGTAAATATTTAATTTATTAATATTGCTACATATTAAAGGGGTAGTCCTCTGACTAATCAATTGATAGATTTAATGTACCTATAGTATATGTAGTTCACTAACTCACTTTAAAGCTTTTATGAGGAGGCAATAAACTTGTTGTTTAAGTTTCATTTGTACATGTTCCAAATGTAATTGTTTATAACTTTCCTGAACTGTTTTTTAAAATGCCATTGAAGATCTATGCCTGAAATGTGGAACTTGTGTACAGTTGTGCAGATTGCAAATATTGCACTTTGACTTGTGATTTAAACCTGCTCAGTGTCATCTTTCTGAACATACAGTATGAACTTCCTCAGCAATTCAACTAAAGAATTTCAGTCAGCAACAAAAGAGCAAGAGTTGATTTATTGTGTTGGTGCGACCAAAACTTGACTTGTAATAAATGTAAACATGTCAGTGGGACTGAAATCAGACTAAGTCAAACTCCTTGGAGACTGACTGACACACTCTCAATCAGAAGCAAAGTGACCTCTAAGTGTTCTATAGGTGATGTTCATGTATCATGCTCCATCGTTCCTGTGCAGGGCTTTGACCCGGAAGGCAAACAACATAAAAGTGTAATATAACAGATGTCATGTTGTTGTCTGCCTTAGGATATCACCAGAAGCACATCACAACAAAGACTCACACAAAGAGAGTCGGTCAAACTAATCACAACACAGACTCACACAAAGACAGTCGCACAAACTCATCACAACACAGACTCACACAAAGACAGTCGCACAAACTCATCACAACACAGACTCACACAAAGACAGACGCACAAACTAATCACAACACAGACTCACATAAGGACTTACGCACAAACTCATCACAACACAGACTCACATAAGGACTTACGCACAAACTCATCACAACACTCACACAAAAACAGACACACAAACTCATCACAACACAGACTCACACAAAGACAGTCGCACAAACTAATCACAACACACACTCACACAAAGACAGACACACAAACTCATCACAACACACACTCACACAAAGACAGACACACAAACTCATCACAACACTCACACAAAAAAGACGCACAAACTCATCATCACAACACAGACTCACAAAGACAGACACACAAACTCATCACAACACAGATTCACACAAAGACAGACACACAAACTCATCACAACACAGACTCACACAAAGACAGACGCACAAACTAATCACAACACAGACTCACACAAAGACAGACGCACAAACTAATCACAACACAGACTCACACAAAGACAGACGCACAAACTAATCACAACACAGACTCACAAAGACAGACACAGAAACTCATTACAACACAGACTCACACAAAGACAGACGCACAAACTCATCACAACACTCACAAAGACAGACGCACAAACTCATCACAACAGAAACTCATCACAACACAGACTCACACAAAGACAGACGCACAAACTCATCACAACACTCACACAAAGACAGACGCACAAACTCATCACAACACAGACTCACTCAAAGACAAACGCACAAACTCATCACAACACTCACACAAAGACAGACGCACAAACTCATCATCACAAAACAGACTCACACAAAGACAGACGCACAAACTCATCACAACACTCACACAAAGACAGACGCACAAACTCATCACAACACTCACACAAAAACAGACACACAAACTCATCACAACACTCACACAAAGACAGACGCACAAACTAATCACAACAATAACTCACACAAAGACAGACACACAAACTCATCACAACACTCACACAAAACAGACGCACAAACTCATCATCACAACACAGACTCACAAAGACAGACACACAAACTCATCACAACACAGACTCACACAAAGACAGACACACAAACTCATCACAACACAGACTCACACAAAGACAGACACACAAACTCATCACAACACAGACTCACACAAAGACAGACACAGAAACTCATCACAACACGGACTCACACAAAGACTTATGCACAAACTCATCACAACACTAACACAAAAGCAGACGCAAAAACTAATCACAACACAGAAACTCATCACAACACTCACACAAAAACAGACGCACAAACTCATCACAACACTCACACAAAGAAAGACGCACAAACTCATCACAACACAAACTCATCACAACACAAACTCATCACAACACAAACTCATCACAACACTCACAAAGACAGTCGGACAAACTAATCACAACACAGACTCACACAAAGACAGTCGCACAAACTCATCACAACACAAACTCACACAAAGACAGACGCACAAACTAATCACAACACAGACTCACACAAAGACAGACGCACAAACTAATCACAACACAGACTCACACAAAGACAGACGCACAAACTAATCACAACACAGACTCACAAAGACAGACACAGAAACTCATCACAACACAGACTCACACAAAGACAGACGCACAAACTCATCACAACACTCACACAAAAACAGACGCACAAACTCATCACAACACTCAAACAAAGACAGACGCACAAACTAATCACAACACAGACTCACACAAAGACAGACACAGAAACTCATCACAACACAGAGTCACACAAAGACAGACGCACAAAGTCATCACAACACTCACACAAAAACAGACGCACAAACTCATCACAACAAAAACTCATCACAACACAGACTCACACAAAGACAGACGCACAAACTCATCACAACACTCAAACACAGACAGACGCACAAACTCATCACAACACAAACTCATCACAACACAGACTCACTCAAAGACAAACGCACAAACTCATCACAACAATCACACAAAGACAGACGCACAAACTCATCATCACAAAACAGACTCACACATAGACAGACGCACAAACTCATCACAACACTCACACAAAGACAGACACACAAACTCATCACAACACTCACACAAAACAGACGAACAAACTCATCATCACAACACAGACTCACAAAGACAGACACACAAACTCATCACAACACAGACTCACACAAAGACGGACACACAAACTCATCACAACACAGACTCACACAAAGACAGACACACAAACTCATCACAACACAGACTCACACAAAGACAGACGCACAAACTAATCACAACACAGACTCACACAAAGACAGACGCACAAACTAATCACAACACAGACTCACAAAGACAGACACAGAAACTCATCACAACACAGACTCACACAAAGACAGACGCACAAACTCATCACAACACTCACACAAAAACAGACGCACAAACTCATCACAACACTCACAAAGACAGACGCACAAACTCATCACAACAGAAACTCATCACAACACAGATTCACACAAAGACAGACGCACAAACTCATCACAACACTCACACAAAGACAGACGCACAAACTCATCACAACAGAAACTCATCACAACACAGATTCACACAAAGACAGACGCACAAACTCATCACAACACTCACACAAAGACAGACGCACAAACTCATCATCACAAAACAGACTCACACAAAGACAGACGCACAAACTCATCACAACACAAACTCATCACAACACAGACTCACTCAAAGACAAACGCACAAACTCATCACAACACTCACACAAAGACAGACGCACAAACTCATCACAACACTCACACAAAGACAGACGCACAAACTCATCACAACACTCACACAAAACAGACACACAAACTCATCACAACACTCACACAAAGACAGACGCACAAACTAATCACAACAATGACTCACACAAAGACAGACACAAACTCATCACAACACTCACACAAAACAGACGCACAAACTCATCACATCACAGACTCACAAAGACAGACACACAAACTCATCACAACACAGACTCACACAAAGACAGACACACAAACTAATCACAACACAGACTCACACAAAGACAGACATAGAAACTCATCACAACACGGACTCACACAAAGACTTACGCACAAACTCGTCACAACACTCACACAAAAGCAGACACAAAAACTCATCACAACAGAAACTCATCACAACACAGACTCACACAAAGACAGACGCACAAACTCATCACAACACTCACACAAAGACAGACGCACAAACTCATCACAACACAAACTCATCACAACACAGACTCACTCAAAGACAAACGCACAAACTCATCACAACACTCACACAAAGACAGACGAACAAACTCATCATCACAAAACAGACTCACACAAAGACAGACGCACAAACTCATCACAACACAAACTCATCACAACACAGACTCACTCAAAGACAAACGCACAAACTCATCACAACACTCACACAAAGACAGACGCACAAACTCATCACAACACTCACACAAAGACAGACGCACAAACTCATCACAACACTCACACAAAGACAGACACACAAACTCATCACAACACTCACACAAAGACAGACGCACAAACTAATCACAACAATGACTCACACAAAGACAGACACAAACTCATCACAACACTCACACAAAACAGACGCACAAACTCATCACATCACAGACTCACAAAGACAGACACACAAACTCATCACAACACAGACTCACACAAAGACAGACACACAAACTAATCACAACACAGACTCACACAAAGA